AACATTCCGAGTTCCAAATATCCAGCTTTGTCTCTCCATGGCAATGGAACATTCAAAAACATCACAATCACAGAATCCTTTCACAGAACGCTCACGCTTCATTTTCGTTCTACCAGGTTTCTGTACTGTCACAGCTGGACCCGGGTGAGGGCGGGTTGGTGTCGCTGGTCCAGGTGCGGTCGGTGTGCAGCTTCTGCATGTTCCCCGTGATCAGTGTGAGGAGCGCAGCTTGCGAGTGAGCCGACGGCTCTCCTCCCTGGCTCTCCAGCAGAGTCACCAAGAAGTTGATGTAGCGCATGGCCAGCCGCAGGATCTCGTTCTTGCTGAGTTTTTTCTCGGGCGGGTGCGTGGGGATGAGTTTCCGCAGCTCTGTGAAGGCTGTGTTGACATTATGTTGGCGCCAGCGCTCACGTGTGTTGGGGAACACCTTCCTGGTCATGATACTGCGGTACTTCTGCAAAAACTAAAATATCGTTATCATACCATTGTCTGAATATTAAGAGCATGGGGGAAAAGGAAAATAATTCTAATAATAGCAACAAGTACAAACACTTACCACTTTACGTTGTCTTGAATCTCTATGAACGTTGGAGCATCAGGCATGAAAAATCGAAAAATAGTCCAGATGGCAGGTAAAAGCAGCAGTGTGTGTTTAGTAAAGATAAAGAGCTGTCAGGTAATGGCAGTAGTAATAATCCAGCATCCGTCCTCTCACTCTCAGAACCCTTGAACAAACTCCTCAGATGGAAAACCGGGTGAAAGAGCGAGGTTGTGAGGGAGGGGTGGGGTTTGGCTTGTGCTCCTCGTTTTTATAGTCATGCCGCTGTGTGACGTTGCAGGGTGTGAGTGGGGGGGAATGATTTTTACATCTGCCATTAATGCGTTTAAATTGATTAACATAATGCGTCGTGTTTCCATTCACAGCTATAGCATCTGGGGGGATAAATACAAAGAAATCCAACTTTTTACCAGCTGAACATGAAAAACAAACTGCAGTCTAGTGTTTAAACCAAACAGGGTACATTCATTTCAAATAAAAAGCTTTTGTTTCATGCATCATGTCCTGAGCTTAATCTTCAATTCACAGCAGTCAAAAACTCTTAGTAAATATGAATTAAAATACTATAAATATAAATACATAATGCTTTATATAGCATATTTTTATGTAATATTTAAATATTTTAATATGTACATTTTATTAATTAATAAATCTAATTATTAGATTAATTATATGTAAATCTAATTACTTGCATCTATAAATTATATACATACATCGATATACAGTACTAAGACTTAAACTATATAGACATATTTGTAAAAAAAAATTAAAAAAAATAAAAAACGATCACAAAACTTTAAAATTAAAATGGTTACCATTTAAAAACCATTTTACCATATATATACACTTTACAGTAGACTGCCACTCACATTAATACATAGTTTGGCCATTTTGCTTTTAAATAGTTTTGACAAATATTTTAGTTTTGATGTTCCCAATTTAATTTTCCACTCTCTTTAAAAGTCGTCACATTGCACATCTTTTCAAATATACCTAATAGCACTTAATGAAGCGAATATATACAATTTTTACTATTGTGAGTTTATTCATAATCTTAAACACTTCCACATTCAGCCCACCGGGAAACAACAGAGAGGGTGGACTATTCAAAGCAGACTTATTGCCTATGAGCTCTAACAAATACGTGGCTGTTGTACAAAATGTGTTTCCCTCTTTTGTTGGGATGCTGGATGTCCACCTGCTAACAGATCTATTACAGCAACTCTGTCCAATAGTGAAGTGACACCATAATGAAAACTTTCCTCTGATTGGACAACACGGTGTCAAAAAACCCCACAGCATATTCACCCTGACAGAGTAATAATATGGGTTTTGTCTGAATGATGGTAATCTTGTTTAGCATGTCCTGGGGCTTCACATAAATTACACTAGGTTATGACAGAGGCAAGCTTGTGGATCAGCACATTCTTTGGGGCCAAGGTCTCCGAAGCCCCCTCTCGCTCTTTCCCGAACTCTCAACCTCCCTTCAGATCAAAAGCTGGTATCTCGCTGCAGCAATTGTTGCGTTAAAAGTCTCTCTGCGAATTGTGGGGGATTTGCATAATGGGATTATGGAGGGATTAGGAGTCAGGCAGAGGACAGACACAGTTAGGATGGAGCTGAATTCACGACTCCATTCATATGGACTCCACCTCTCAACACACCCTGCACCTGCAGAGCTGCCTTTCAGATCTGCCAAAAACGTCAGCGAAACGCAAACCTGCCCAAAACTAAACTCTCTCCCAATCCACACCCAAACTTTTGACCTACCTGAGCTGATCGTGATGCAATTGGCGAAATGCAATTAAACGGAGACTTCTGCTGCTCAGATGTTTCTCCTGTGAAAAACAGTCCAGTAATCTCTCAGATTTGGTCCGAAGCCTGCAATCAAAAGATGCATTTGTCAAAACCGATTTCAAAAATTTTAAAGACCAAATGATCAGAGCTATGCAATCCAAATAAACCGAATAAAATGCAACTGATTTTATGTTAAGGAATTTCAAGACAAACCTGGACATGAATTATCTTGTTTTACAAAAGAGCAAAATATGAGAAATACATAAATAATATAAAAATCTTTAAAAAATTATATATTTAAAATACAAATGCATTTATATTTTAAATATATACAGTAAATTGTATGAAAAATCTAATGTGAGAAATACAATTTTGATTTAAAAATAATTAATTTAGTATTTATTATTTATATTTAAAACAAAAAACATTGTAATATATTTTATTACATTATATACAGTATATTATTGTTATTTGTATAAGGTACATAAATAAAACAAGGAAAAAAATGGAACAATAAAAAAAGGAAAATATCTGACTGCAAATGCAACTTACTGTAGGGGTTAGTGGTTTGTTCAGATTGCCTTAGCAAGGACCAATTAAATGCAGAAATCTTCCCCAACTGTTCCTATTTGAGCATTTAGTTGACATTGTTAAACACTGCTGACACTGTAATAAGGGCGACAAGAGATTTGACCCAATGTTTGCAATGAAGAGTGGTTAAACAGATTCAGATTTGAACAGCATGCTCTGTTCTCACAGCTTTTTTCCATCTGAAAGAGCGCTGTGATTACGGTCACATTACTGACGTATTTATTGACACCGCTGTGTCTTACTGCCTCAGACTGGACACACGTCTTTCCTCCCTCACAGCCCTGTGTCCAAACACTGCTGTTTTATTTGCTTTTGTTTGAGTAGGGGCAGTTCAGATGGTGTTGGGAGTTATTTATGGAGGCTATTTGGTGTTTTACAGAGGCTGAGGCTCACAAGGTGCAGAGAGAGTGAAAGGGAGAGTGATGGAGAGAGGAAAATGCCCTGTGGGAGTGTTTGTTCTGGAGCTCATTCCTGCGAGGGGCTGCCGTCAGACTGCTGGCGTGCTGAGATAAGCCCTCCGACCCCCATCGCTCTCCCTCTCTTCCTCCTCCTCTGTCTGTGCAGCGCTTTCCCTCTGCTCTGACTGTCAGCGATAAGAAGATCGTCCTGTAATTGAATGACCATCTTTCTATCACGCTCATTTCAGAAAATAGCGAGGGGCTGGAAATGCGTATGGTGTGGGAGATAAATGAATGGCCACTGTCGCCGTAGTCCCCAATCTACATCCAGACTGGTAATTTTGAAAATGCTTTTTTTAACGCCAATCAATTCAGCTTCACATACCGAATGATTTATTCAGTTCCAGACCGGCGTGACCCCTTCTAAATAAGCGGCGTAGCATCAGTAACGTGTAGCGAGAAATGTTAATTTCTCAATACAGTGTCACGTTTGAATAGAACTCTTTCATCTGCATTCAGATGCATTCTTTACACCTGCTTCTGTGTACAGACTATAAAGCTAACAGATGCATGTGTGCATACGCTCACTCTCAACTGTAGGTCAAAGGTCAGTAGATAAAAAAAGCCACGTCATTCTGGAGTCAAAAAACAAAACAGCACTAAATGCTTTTAAACAATCAAAGCTCAAACCTTCTGTTGCACCCTAAGAAGCACATTTAAAAAGACAAGTCTAGTTAAATCTAATAATCTCCTGTAATTCTAAAACGTTTTGATTAGTACATTTCAAAGACTTTTCCAGCTGTTCATTAATTTTTTAAAAATAATGACTAAAAAAAGTTGAAATTACAAATTACTACTTTCACAAGTAGATATTAATAGTTGTAAAATCAAAATCATTTTAGAATTGAGCATAATTAGAAAAATACATATTCACTGTATTTACCATATTAAACAATGACTGTGGAGAACCCTGTAAAAAAACGATACGATAAATAATACAAATACTAAATCTAAAATTATGCAATTGCAAGCATTTTAATAAAAAAAAAAGTTAATATATTCATAAATCAATTTTTTATTAATTTATGATTTTTTAAATAGCATAAATAGCGAGCATTAATTCATAGCTATATATATACTAAAATATTTTAAAGTTGAGCGAAATTTAAAAATACATCTTCAATTTTCAAGATTTCATACATTTTCATGGCATTTCAAGTCCTGGAAAACAAAATGTGTAAATTGTCGCAACTGTGGGTACCCTCTAAAAAAATAAATAATAATACAAATATTAAATCTAACAAAATGTGTGTTTATTTTGTAATCACGTCAATTTGAAATATATAAAAAGAAATGTTTGATTTGACCGTTTCTTTTTCTTATTGCAACTGTCATTCTGATATAAATACTGATATAAATAGACCTAAAGGGTGATAGTTTAAACATTAATATGTACTAATTATTGGAACAATATCTACATTTATTATGAACCATTCATTTTATACATTTACTATAAATTATATACATATATTTTAATGGACATATGACTGAACTGTATTAATGTAGCATTACATTCTACATGAAAACTGAAAATACAGATGAGCGTGAGAAATATTCTAAAATATCACTCAAGCGAGTGATATACTTAACATAAAGTAGCAAAACTTGCTCAGAAAAATCTCAGTCTGGTCTGTCCATCATTTCTGCCTGGAACTCGCTCACATAGCAGTCTTCCTCTCTTGCAGTGCGGCAGCACTGGGAATAAACACACAGACACAGAATGATAGAGCAAAACTCTCTTGCCCTCCGGATACCACGAATTGTTTCGTGCTGAATTTCTTTTAAAGAGAAAGTTCATAGAAATACTTTGAAAAAAGACAGTACAGAGAAAGTCAATGGGATTTCTATGCACTGTTACATAAATAAATAAATAAATACAAAATCAGTATTTTTCAAAGTGGTAAGTAAAATATTTATTATTGTGTATTAATTATAATAATATTGTTAATTATTGTGGTATGCTTTACAAAAAAATACTTTCTACTTCATTCTTTTTCACTAAATTTCATGTTCAATTCAATGTGTTACTTGCCTTTTTTTTTTAATAATTAATGTAAAATGAGCGAACATTAACATCAATTCTGAGCAAAATTTAACAACTAATGTTTTTCTGTGTGGAGCTAAATTAATTTATTTACAACATATTATTCTCAAATGCCTAAGCTAATTCACATTTGCAAGAAAGTTTATACATTTACAAACAGCAATTCATAAACTCATGCAAATATATAAACTTTTTGTGAAAAAAACTCTGGGAAATCTATTTCAATTTAATAAAAATTTTCTAAAGAAGTTTCTTTATAATCATGACAAATGTTTGATTTGACAGCTTTTTAAATTTTCTTTCGTAATCAAATTCCATTAACTGTCTTTAGAACAAATAATACTGCAAATACACATAATTAGCTCATGCATTTGTAAATAATATTTTCTCAAATTAATTGAGAGACTATTTTTAAATGTTGTTTAAAATGTAATGTTTGTGTTCCACAGAAGAAAGGAAGTCATGCATGTTAGAAATGTGTGTGTATCTGTACCACTGTGCACATCTTCTCCTCCTCGCCTCTTCCTCTCCTCTCCTGTCTTGTTGGGCAGATGATTCTCAGGTGAGCTCCAGCGAGTCTGACTCTGCGGTCTAGAGCTGAATCCACACGCAGTGTTTCTGCCTCCCAGCACTTCAGGAGTGGGCAGAGGAGCCAAGGGAACATGGGCAGACCCTCGTGGAACAGCTCGGCCTGGCATGAGATCTGGGTTTTGAATGAATCCTTCACCCTGTAGCTGCCAGACGCTCGCTGTAGTTGAACCTCGGCTGAACTGGCTTGGCGTTAATGGGTTGTATGAGTGAAAATGAGCTGTATCCTCTCCTCTCACGCTGTTATGACCTGCTAATGTGAATAAGAAGCAATTTAAATGATTGCACTGAAAAAAAATACGAATTTTTACATTTAAACAGGGTCCAAAATTAACTTTAGCCAACAACCACATTTGCCGACCATATACAGTATATTTCTAACTAGCCAGTAAAATATATTTAGCATTATGATTATTGTAATAAAAGTACAAATATTAAATATAAACACATAAATATACTTCTAGTCAAATGTTTACAATAATTAAGATTTTTAATGCTCACCAAGGCTGCATTTTTTATTGGATCAAAAATACTGTAAAAAATTGGGAACTATTATTACAATTTCAAATAACTGTTTTTTATGTTAATTAT